CCCTCTCCACTCTCTATTTTAAAGTAACAACTTTATTGAGATATAATTTTTTTTATTTTTTATTTATTTTTTATTTTTTTTATTTTTATTTTTATTTATTTGAGAGAGAGAGAGAATGAGAGATAGCACGAGAGGGAAGAGGGTCAGAGGGAGAAGCAGACTCCCTGCTCAGCAGGGAGCCCGATGCGGGACTCGATCCCGGGACTCCGGGATCATGACCTGAGCCGAAGGCAGTCGCTTAACCAACTGAACCACCCAGGTGCCCTTATTGAGATATAATTTACATACCATAAAATTCACCCTTGAAATATACAATTCAGTAGTTTTTAACTTAGAACCCCAATTTTTATCACCCCAAAAGAAACCTTGTACCCATCAGCAGTGACACCCCATTTTCCCCAATTTCTAACCCCCGGTGATCACTGATCTTTCTGCGTCTCTGGATTTGCCTCTTCTGGACATTTCACCCAAGTGGAGTCATATGATGTGTGGTCGTTTGTGATGAGCTGCTTTCCCTCAGCATGTTTTCAAGGTTCATCCATACTGTAGTGTCTTTCAGCACTTCCTTCCTTTTTATGGCCAAATAATATTCCATCTGTATGGCCATACCACCTTTTGTTGGTTTGTTCACTGGGCTTATCCATTGATTTTTGTCTATCTGTTCATGCCCTTCTTGTTCCTTTCCCATTCTTTTCCAGTTGCTGCTTTCTTCCAAGATCGGGCAGGAGGAGCTCTCCCTCACCACCTCCCAGGGAAGAAAAGGACCATTTTGAGGTGTGGGCTCCTGTTGTTGACTGTGAAGCTTCTTCCTTGGAAAGCCCCCCTCTACCACCCTCCCCCTCACCATCATGCTGTGATTTTGCAAGACCTGATGAGGAAACCTCTGTTCCTCAGCCTGTGAGGAGGGCCGTGGGAGGGGACCATGCTGTGCCTTTGGACCCTGGGCAGTTAGAAAGGGTTTTAGAAAAATGAGCTCTGGTCCGAGCGCTGGGTTCTGCTGCGAGGCAGAGAAGATTCTGGCAAGGAGGCTTGCTGGGGTGGGACGGGGCTCAGGGTAGGTGTTGGGGAGGCTGGGCCACTTAGTGTCTTACGGTCACCTCTGCTCAGGTTGGTGGCACAGAGGTCGGTCACCACAACTCCTCAAGTTTCCTCCATAGGATTAAACACTGGACGGTTGTAAGTTAGGCATAAGGCCCGTGGGCTGTTGGCTTTGCACAGAAATATGGGGTATATTTACTCTCCTGGGAGCTGAGTTTCTTTAGATGTTTGTTAATGGGCCCGGGAGCATTGCCTCAGGTTGACTGGTTTGGGGGGCCCTGCAGGTGACCACTGTGAAGCTGTCCTATTGAATACTGACCCGACAGAAATGCTTGTGTAGTTGTATTCCCACTGGCTGGGTTTTTGCTGCAGCCCTTGGAGCACTTTGTTTCTGGGAGGCTGGTCTCTTGCCTCCCTCCTTTCGCGGCCAAGGTGGTGAATGTTTGTTCTCCCACCTCCTTGCTTTTCCTTCCCGAATACCACTGACGGCTGCAGGTTCTGCCCCTCCCCAGCCCTCAGCCTGGTGTGAGGGGCCCAAGGCCCAGGACGTGGCTCAGGGCTGTCCCTGGAAGAGACCCGAGACCCGGTGGAAGCCAGAGGAAAGGCAACACCCCCGGGGGGGCTTTGTTTAAGAAAAGGCTGTCTGGGGCTGTCACCGTCTCCTCTGGCTATAAAGCCGAGACCTGGAGGTCTTTTCTGCAGGGTTGGCCTGGGCTCCTTCCTTTTTTGAATCCTGCTCTTCTTAGTAACAGCCCCCTGCCCCCAGGGCTTCAGCTCCCACAGTGTTCCTCTCCTGTGTGGCAGGGAGGCCGTATGTTCAGTCCAATGGGGCGCAAGGGCTTTGTTTGTGCCTGGAGAGAGGGCTCTGGGGATGGAGATGAGCAACCACACGCCTTCAGACAATGAAGCATTCTGCCCTCCCACTGCCCTAATTCCTCTTCACCGAGAGCCCCAGCCGGGCCGCTCTGCCTGCTGTCTGCGCCTCTGTACTCCGTCGGCGGGTGGCTTTCCCCATCTCTCGCCCCCCCTGCCTCCCCCCATCCCCGGCTGTGGGCTCTTTTCCTCCTGGCCTCTGCCATGGGCCTGTCCTGGCATTGCATTCGGAGTCGAGGGGCTTTGGCCTGAAATAAAATCCAAGTATTTAAGGCTGTTATTGCCATTTGTGTCTAACAGGCTGTAGCCGAGGAGGGGGTGCGAGCATTGGCGGGAGCTGCGTTCATAAATCACGAATTTATCAGCGTGGAGGGCAGGGCCGGGCGCGGTTGTCTCGCGTGGGGCGAACGGCCCGGGGCCCGGCTGCGAGGAGGGGCCGCCGTCCGGGGCACCTGCGGCAGGCCCTCCTCACCGCCGCGGGCACGAGCCTCGTTAGGTGTAATTACCTGCTGCCGCTTGCGGCCTCGCAGCCCGTCTGAGGTCCCAGGTGCTGGGAGGGAAAGTTTGTCAACAGGCAGACGCGGAGCCCTGGCGGGAACTCCTCCCTCTTTCCTGCCCGCCTCCCCGGGCCTCTCCTTTAGACGATGCAGCCAAGCAAGGCGGGGAGAGAAAACCTACAGAGGCAAATCCAAAATGTCAAAAGAAGTTCATTTAAAAGGGGGAAAAAAAAACAAAAAAACTCCATCCACAACGCTGACAAAAACCCGACAGATGCTGAGCTAATGGCATCCGCTCTGCCGATTGGTGGGGATGGTTCATGAATATTAATAAGCCCAATGCTCCAAATGGTGCAGCTGTGAGCCCAGCTGTGCCTGAAGCTCTCTGATCTCGAAACTTCCAGACAGGAGCCAGAGGTGGTCTGTGTCAATTCCCTACTCAGCCAAAAAACAGCAAGCCGGGTTGGCCTTCTTCTGTTCGCTCCTTTTCTTCCTGGAGTTGGTGCTCAGCAGCTAGTTCTGCCAGCAGGGTGGGCTGCTGGGACAGCAGGGGCCAGTCAAAGACACGGATGCGATTTTTCTGACTCCTGGCTTTTTTAATGATCCATTACCAGCAGTGCATACAATAGCAGCTCAGTTACTCTAAGGCCAGGCGCCACCCCCTCACCGTCTTGTGCACAGTTGAGAGTGTGCGCCATGGGAGGAGATGTCCTTAAGAAGGGAAGAATTTTCCTAACACGGGCCTGGTTTCCAGGGAAAACAGCAAAGCCGAATTCTCCTCCCCATCCAGGCAGTGCCATTTGCCGCTCACGTTCTGCTCTGTCCCTGTGTGTCACCACCTGACCGCTACTTCAGGTGGCTACTTGTGGCCCAAGTCTGGTTGTCTCTTCTTACCCAGGATAAGTGATCCCCTGCTCATGGGTTTCATGTTGTTTGGTGGAAGGGTGTGTGTGTGTAGGGGGAGGTAGGTCTCGTTTGAAGATAAGTCTCCTTTGTTTGCTTCACTTTACTTGACCTCAGTGGCCAGTGAGGAGCGCAAGTCCAGTACTACACCCATTTTTTAGCTGAGGAAACTGAGCTGAGCGTGGTTTTTAAAAAGCATGTTTTGATTCATTTAAAATGTATGTATTTGTTTATTTTTCAAGTAAACTCTACCCCTGATATGGAACTCGAACTCAAAACCCCAAGATCCAGAGTCACGTGCTCTACCAACTGAGCCAGCCAGGTGACCCTACAAAGCATGTTTTTAGATGGTGGGAGAATATATTCATGTGAGTTACCTCCCCAGCTCTGTAAGATGAGGTTTTTGTTTGTTTTCTCCCCTCATTTTTTTTTTAAACTAAAATAAACCCACTACTACTCAAGGAAAAGAAAAACCAAGTCCCCTCCTGTAGCTTTTCAGAGTAGTTCTCAGAATTCCGAGCTCCTCTGCAGTCCTCAGTTTTCGGACTGCTCCTTCTTTAGATGCACACCACCATGTCTTAGACACCTCTCTGGCAGCTGAGTTTGGGAGGAGTTCATGACTCTTCCACATTCTGATTGGACTTTAAGTTAGCTCCATGTTTGTGAATTTGTTTCTATGCCTCAGCTCTTGCTGGATATATTTCCCACCTGAGGTGTGGTGAAGACAGTGGGCCAGGAGGATGTGAAGTGGGGTTGAAGGTAGAGATGGAAACAGACCAGCGCCTGGCCTGCCTCCCGGAGGCCACAGGACCATCCAGTCAGGGACTAGAGCGGCATCTGCTGATTTATGCGGGGGCTGCCAGCTGAGACACAGCTAAAGCCCAGCAGATAAGCATCGAGGTGCAGGATGGTGACTTCCTCAGGCCTGCCTGGGCACGGATCCTAAGCCAAGGCTCCTGGGCAGCCCTCTGCCAGCAGGGACTCAGCTCTGTCGAGGGCATGTCACCTGGCTCAAAGTAACCTTTCTTTGAATTGTGGAGAAGCATCCCCCCTTCCCATACTCCTTACCACTATCCCTTCCTTCCTGAGGGTTTCCTCAGCCCACTTTGGGAGCCTCCCAATTCACCTCTTCTCATTTACTCCCCGTGCTACAGAACTCTTTCAGGAACTGCTGTAAAGACCAAATATGCACTTGACTTACCAACAGGGCAGCAGGGGCCAGTCCTAGTATGTTATTAGAGAAATAACTTCTTGGCAAGAACCAGTTCTGCCTTAGAAATGGCTAGATTTGGAGTTGAAAGCTGGAACCTCAAATCTCAAGATATAATAAACATGGACAGTTTATGCTCAAAAGGGTAACAGCCATGCTTTTTGGAGACAGACTGCTCCTGAGTCAATGAGCAAAGTGAATAATTTTACCTCCTGTCCATTCAGGGGACCCTGGCCCACTTCCACCAGCAAAGGAGGCAAAGGAGAGGAGACTTACTCAGCAGTGAAAGGGGCAAGAATAATACGTAGGGAGAGATGGGAAAGCTAGAGTGTGAGAATTCAGAGATTGCCCGAAAGTCTTTAAGGGTCCCCCTCCCCCCCAACGAAGGGCAGGAACATGAGATGCTTCTGTAATCTTTGGATTATGGGAAGCCCCCAGCCAGAATTTCTTATCTGTGGCTGTACGTCCCTCCCTCCATCCTTCAGCCAAGCACCTCTTCCTTCGTACCATCCATTTCGAAGGGGCCAGCTAGTTTAGATCTTTCCATAAGTGCTCTAGCCCTGGGTCTGTACTTCCCCTGGTGGCTACGTTGGTGTGGGAAGCCAGGCCCACCAGCAGCTTGACCCTAGTCCCTGGAGCAGAAGGCCCAGAATAGTGAGAGCCCGAGGCGGTTTATTGGAGGCAATGCAACCTGCCTGCTATATGCTACGAGACTTAGATATATTCTACCAATTAGGGCACATCTGTTCGAAGCGCTGAAAGGCGGGCACTGTCTCTTTAAGAGCCATCCCACTCCTCTCCTTGAGTGATGAGGCCTGGGAGCACAAGGGAGTCGGATGCTGATTAAACAGTCCTACTGCCCAGCTCTGTTAGAAAATTACTGTAATTATGATCTAGTCCCAGCAGAGGGATGAGTTCCAATCCTGCTAATAACCCTTCCAGGTGCCTCGGATTCGGGGCCCATGGGAGGCAGTGTCGTCAGGGCTCTGGCTGGCACCAGGGCCGGCAGTGGCCTTGCTGTCTGGCCCGTGCAGGCAAAACCAACAAAGGCAATGGACCCCTCGTCCTATCTTGGCCTCCTGAGAAGGCAGTGGGTTTTGGCTGGGTTTTACTTTTTTGGTTCCTTGATAGAGCTCCTAGGACTTACTTTGCATAAGAAAACTTCCCCTTCAAAACTAACGTGGAGGAGCAGGAAGGATGGCGGCCGTAGCCGCTGGGAGGTGACATCTGTCCTGCCTGACGGCTGCAGTCAGCCCCGCCCTAGCCCGCCCCAGTGCCTGCCAGGGGCGGGGCACCAGAGCCCCCCATCGGGGGCAGCTGCTGCCCTCTCCGTGGGTCGACGACCCTGGTCTCCTGCTTTGAAGCAGAACACGGCATTTCACTCAGTCCTGATCAAGAGTTTCAGGGCTCCCCTTTTTAGATTTCTGCTACAGAAAAGGGAAACATGGATCGCAACCACAGAGCTCCAGACGTGAGGGACTCGCTGGCCTGCAGCTCTCTAAACCGGCAATTCTGGGCTTACATCTTTTTTTGTAGTGCAAATCTGCAGCTGTGCAGGCCCACGATTCTCTAAGGTGCTTGTGGAGAGTGGCAGTTCGTTTGCCGGTGTTAAACCGTGAGGACTCCATGGCCTTTCTACTCTGGGTCTTCCCAACCTAGCAATACGCTCCTCTCTAGTGCTATAATCCAGTGGCTAAAGCACAGACTTCTAGAAGGTAGGTCAGTTTCTCCGTGCTTGGCCCTAAGCAAACAAATGACCCAAGACATTGGTGTTCAACCCGGGGTGATTTTGTTCCCCGGGGACACTTGGCGATGCCTGGAGACAGCTTTGGTGGTCAGCACGGGGTGGGGGGGAGGGAGGGGGGGGGAGTACTACCGGCATCTAGTAGGTAGAGAACAAGGGTGTTGCTGAACATGCCACAATGGCCCCGAACAACATAAAGTTATCTGGCCCCAAATGTCAGGCCCCAGGAGTGCCAGGTTGAGAGAGCTTGCACTAACAGGTGAAGTAATAAAGCTCCAAGTTCTGCGCCGCCGCTCCCCCACTCGCCCCGCCCCCCCGCCATCTTCCCTTGCACTGCCTTCGAGATGTCAGAAGAAATGATCTAAAATCTCCAGATGCCGGGCGCTTGCCCCAAAGTGGGCTGTGCCAGTGGCAGGCCGAGCAGGCCCGCAGTCAGCCCTGCATTCCGGCCCCGTGGCAGGCGTCTGGTACATGTGGGTGGCGTGCAGGTGCCGCCTGGGGGATTCAAGGCAGAGCAATGCCGGGGCGGCTGACCGTGGGTAAAGGGGAGTGTTTGTAGCCTGTTTTCTGTTCCCTGATCTGATGAGGGGGGATAAAAGAGGACCAGCTGCTCACCATCAGGTTGAGAGCGTCTGCAGTAGAACCAGATGCCTGCCTTCTTTGAGGACCAGCACTAGAAGCCTCTTGGAACTCACTCCCGTCACAGGAGGCAAGAAGTGGCATACTGTTGCCCCATGCTCCAAACATGCTTCCCTCCGTGGCACCCTGCCAGGTGGAGGGGTGGTGGGCTGTGATGGGGCCCCACGAGGGAACTGAACACACACAGCTGCTGACAGCCGGCCAGCCCCACCAGCCGCTTGATGCCAAAGATACCGGGCCTCTCAGGACAGCCTGGGCATCAGGAAAAGAAAGCCTCGT